CTAAAAGTCTCAACTTAACACTGACAGTTGCTATACCCCAATTTAGCATCGTCTAATAAGTTTAAATAAATAAATCCAACTGTTTTGTGTTATTCTTTGATTGACGTTTTACAGAATATTGTCGATATTGCCCAAAACGATAAGACTCTAATGCTAATACACTTTACCAGAAATAGTTCTTTATGAAACAGATTTTAGTCGAATTATTAAACTGTTGAGAGTCGAAACATCCTGAAAGCAAAAATTTTAATGGCCGAATACAATAGCTGTTTATCAATTAGAAATTTGTTATTTCTCACCAGTAGACAGTGTCGGTTTGTTAAATCACTGTTGCCTTCAAATTGTAAATTAACAGGCAGAACAATTGAATTTCTTGACTGACCAGCAAGAACAATGCCTACAGATCAAAAAATTTGACTATTGATGTATGCAAAAATAATAAAAATCCATAAAACAAAAGCAATTTTTGAAGCTGTTGAACAAAAAATCATGACCACACACTACACAGTTTTAGATGACTGTGGCTTAAATGATGGTAGTGGAGAATTTTTCTTTGTAATTTAGAGGATAAGCGTTAGATGTCATTGCTAGAAGAAGAAACCGACGACAATCGTTGGAGATAAATAAACAAATTTTACTGACTGAAGACTTTTGTAGAATTAATTTTTTTTTGTTGCATTTATTTCCAAGTGAATAAAAAAGACTAGGTCAATAAGAAAGATGAAGAAAACAAAATAAGAACAAAAATAACAAATTCTTCAGTTTGAAAAAAAAAAAAAATTAATTAACGTTAAATAATGACTATCTCCCACTTAGGTTTACTAGCTTCTAGGTTGTTCACTGTCCGATACAACTCTAATTTTTTGTTTAGTGTAACTAAGAAAGTACACAACTAAAGCACCTATTATGTACTATGTCTAACTGAATATCAACCTTTAAGCATGAATGTTCTGGTCATCAAAGAGGACCACTATAATAAGATCATTAAATAATAGTGAATGTTGGCTTATCAACAGCCACATCCTAAAATAACAGTTTAAGGATTGTGTTGATGACGACGACAACAACAACAAGAAAGCTTTGTTTCCTAACAGATTCTCAATTAAGTCAACCTTGCCGCTGTTGTACGTAGTGTGATAATTAAGTTCATCCGTTCAGACTGACAAACAAAAAGCTTTAAAATGTGTCAGTACTTATAAGTCTCGTCAATACTTCAAAAAATTGCCATCTTGATACATCACTTATAAACTAGTTGCAATTTGAAGAAGCATATGTAATTGAAGAAATAACCGCTAAATCTCAAGCATATGTGCCTAACTGTACAAAATAGAATGCTAAAATTGAAAAAATCTTTACTCATAATCCGATCAGCCCTAATTTAGCAATACTTTGAAATTGAAAACTGATTAAGTTTTCCAAATCAACGCTAGCAACAACAGAAGTTCTGAAGATAAGAATAAAAATAAAAACAACAATAACAATAATAATATAAATGATAAAAATAACAATAGTAATAACAGTGACAACAAAATATTTCGTTTAGGCAACAGTGCCTAGCAAGAGAACAAACTTGATCAGCTACTTCAAAAAAAATTCAAATTTTCTGTATAGGTTCGGGTAACTGAGTGACAATAGAGAAAGACTTTGAAAATACAGTCGTTATCTACCCAACCTAAAAAAGCATTCATTTACATAAACGACTAAAGTATCAATTTGAATAGAAAGATGAACATCTGTGTAAACTGAATATTGTTACTATATGACTTAAATAATTTTTTTTATAGCAAAAACTTTGGAAGATTTGACTGCAATTGTCCTTAAAAAACTGTACTGTACATTTAGTTGTTGTAATTGGCGTGCGGTAAACATAAAAATTTCAAAAATAATTCTAGAAACTAAACGATAAACTAGCCTATCAGTTAGTTATACAATAAAAGAAATCCCCCCAAAAAAATGCCAAATAAAAAGTCAAAAGCAAAAGAAAAGTGTATGGGTTTTGAGTGAAGAAGGTGCCTCCCGAACCAAATTCACCTCTGTCAGACAAACTCCACTGCTTTGGATAGTTGACAAAGCGAACAGTGAATTGAACTAATGTTAGAAAAAATAAATAAATAAATAAACAATAGTTTTCGCCTTTTTTTTCCATTTACTGAAATACGTTCAAAAAACTCTTCAGAAATCAAACAATATAAAATTGCTTAATTTTTGTCAGTACATCCAGCAAAACATCACAGAGTACCTCCCTTCAGCACCTTTAACACATTTCTTTCTTTTTTTTTTTTTTCAATCCAGCACTAAAATCCAATAACTCTAGTCAAACGTTTCGGTCAACCACTCAGATGATTGCGAGCGTTTTATGCTTTTGCGATACAGCTGACAGTTTGCCAGTATATTTGATGTTTCCAAAGTTAAAGATGCCAGTGTTCATGAAATTAAAATCCTCAAAATGATTAGAAGCTAAAAGATTTAAAAAAAAGGAATTAACCAATTAACCTTGTTTAATGCATTTGTAAACTCGACATTATAGCCTGCTGACTTCTACTTCTGTAGCAATTACACTTCAATTAGCAGTTAACTAAATGCACAAGACCTAGTTAAATATTCACTATCGGAAAAGAAAAGAAAGCGAAAAACTAAATACCAATCTGCTGATCTCTTTTTCTTTTTAGAGAACAATAAACTGTATGCTAATGTAAATCTATGAGTTCAAACTACTCACATTTCCCAATGATCGTAGCAATTACTTCTCAAAAACGCATGAATAAATCAACTCTACAGTACAGCTTGCAATACCTTCAAACAACGGTACTGATGAACAGCTGTAAAGCCCTTCTTCATTTTGATCTTCGCTTTCCTCTTCCCTTCCCTTTTGATTCTGTGACACCTATCAAAAACCAAATGACACCATTTCCGCCCTATTTTGACAGCGATGTTGCCAAGTTCAAATGCGACAAACCATTGTTACCACCACTTCCGACAACAATACTTTTTTCCTTCCTTTACGTCTCTTCAACCCTCCCTAATACTCAAAAAACAGTCTTTCTTAAAACAACCAAATATCTCCCAACCATCTGACGAATTCATCGGAACTGGGAGTCCTCAACTGGATCAACAAATGGCAAGCACATCCAAACTGTTTACCAACCCTACCACCACTCTACCAGTAAACTACACTTCCAACAGAAACCAACTTGTATGCACACATTTCAATAACAAAAAAAAAATCTGTTTTACTACACGACTGTTAAAGAGCCTCTTAAGAGCTTTAATGTTTCTATTTTAATCTTCTTACAGGAAAAACTTACAGTGCACTTAAAGATCAATCAGACTTATCCTTTATAAATCTATATTAAAGTCAAAAAAAATTTAATAATTACCGGTAACAATAGTTTAAAATAAAGTATAACAGTAACAAATTCACCAAACTGAACAGTTTCTAAAAAAACAATCAAATGCGTCTCAAAAGATCTTTAGAAAAAACGTGAATATACTGCAAAAGTATCTTTTTTACAAACTACAGTCATATAAAAGCAATAAATACAAACAATATACCTAAGCAAAAACAATTAAAATTCAAACCGTATGTGCAATCCTACAACTTCCGTCTTCAACTTTGATAACGATTTAGTGAAAATTGTTTACAAAAAACAAGAATAAAAAACACAAAAAATACATTTTCAAGTGTTAAAGCAACATCAACAAAATTCATTATGAGAACGACTTTTTTAAAACGAAGACAATGAGACTGACAACGCAGACATACATTTCATAAATAAAATGACAATTTGAAGACAGAAAAACTACTGGTAAAAAAGGATAAAAAAATGTCGACTGTTTTAGCGTAAGGGTGTCACAATCAAATGACATTGTAAACATTTGAAATACAGAGACAAAAACTTTAAAGTAATCGAAAACCATAGAGACTGTTTCAAATTTCCTCAAAACTGTCAATCAGTACAGGAGAATGCCTTGTTTCTTGAAATCCATTCAGTTATACAAGCAAACAATGGTCGACTTTCATAACAGCGTTCTGCACAATACCAAACAATTAACTTGTACAGTTGAGCTGGAAAACAAATAACGATAATAAAAAATAATTAAAGCAAATCAAAAAAAGTAACCCTAAAGCTTGCACCGCATATGACTTCTGTTTACTAACCTACTGATACACCGTTACTGGTAAGGAAAGTATGCATTGTACGTAATTCCTCAGCAAGTTTGCTGTTGAAAAATGTGAAGTAACAAATGGGTTTATTATTGGCCGAGGCAGCAATTAACTGCAGAAGACCTAAATAAAGATAACAATGTTACATCGCGTATTAAGTAAAAGGTATAAAAAAAGCTCAACACTGGGCGGTTTTTGAAAAATATAAAAAATTCCAATTAACATTTTAAGTGGGGGTTTCCTCTGTATACACCGCACCCCCAATTTCCAGTTGCAATTCCTTTTTTCGAACCATCAGGAGAATAAAATCCAGCGTGAGCCTGCATAATTACTCAATATATACATACACATTTTCGCACTAAACAAATGATTTCAACTGGAAAAACTCAAGCATACAAATTCCAACAAACAATATTTTTCAACGCTGAAGTCATATTCAAACAAATCTTTCTAAAATTACATCAAAAAACTAAACTGTTGGTCATTTCTTTCCTCTAAAAATACTATTCCCAATGCTCTATTCATAACCCAGCGCCAAAAACCAACAACTCAGTTTACTCAACAATATACATAAATATACATAAAAATGTTTTAAAAAATACCTTCGTCAGCTCCCGGTCAACATTATTGATGTCATACTGTCTACTTGCTGATGGATAAGAAAGGGCATCTATAGCGACCACTTCACTTAAGTACCTGTTAAACTGGTCCCTAAAGAAGCGCCGCATATTCATTGAATAGTTTATGGTCACTAATAAACAACTCAAAAAACACTGCAACAAAGTCTAAACCAACAATGCATTCAATCTTCTGCTGTAATGCGTGGCTTATGTAGTCAAAAAAAAAAAAAAAAAAAAAAAAAAAAAA